TAAAGAAGCCAAGGAAAGATATAAAAATCTCCAAAAGGCCTCAAATTACAGATTAGACATTCTTATAATATGTCAACAAAAGTTAGATTTTATTTCCATCATTTACACTTTCAAAATAACAGAAAACAAAAAAATGGCGTCTGCAAAAGTTTGGGCACCCTGCAGAGTTAATATCTTGTACTGCCCCCTTTGGCAAGTATCACAGCTTGTAAACGCTTTTTTGTAGCCAGCCAAGAGTCTTTCAATTCTTGTTTGAGGTATCTTTGCCCATTCTTCCTTACAAAAGTCTTCCAGTTCTTTGAGATTTCTGGGCTGTCTGTCACGCACTGCTCTTTTAAGGTCTATCCATAGATTTTCATTATGTTTAGGTCAGGAGATTAATGAAGGCCATGGCAAAACCTTCAGTTTACGCCTCTTGATGTAATCCCCCGTGGATTTCGAGGTGTGTTTTAGGATCATTATCCATTTGTAGAAGCCATCCTCTCTTTAACTTCAGCTTTTTCACAGATGGCATCAAGTTACCATCCAAAATTTGCTGAAATTTTATTGAATCCATTTTTCCTTCTACTCGTGAGATGTTCCCTGTGCCACTGGCTGCAACACAACCCCAAAGCATGATTGATCCAACCCCATGCTTAACAGTTGGACAGAGGTTCTTTTCATTAAATTCTGTGCCCCTTCTTCTCCAAACGTACCTTTGCTCATTCCGGCCAAAAATTTCAATTTTAACCTCATCGGTCCACAGAACTTGTTTCCAAAATGCATCAGGCTTGTCTATATATTCATTTGCAAAGTTCAAACGATGATTTTTGTGGTGAGGACATAGAAGAGGTTTTCTTCTGATGACTCTTCCATGAAGACCATATTTGTACAAGTATCTCTTTATAGTGGAATAGTGTACCACAACTCCAGTGTCTGCCAGATCTTTCTGGAGGGATCGTGCAGTCAAATGTGGGTTTTGAATTGTTTTTCTCACAATCCTGCGAGCTGTTCTGTCTGATATTTTTCTTGGTCTTCCAGATCTTGCTTTAACTTCCACTGTTCCTGATGACTGCCATTTCTTAATTACATTCCGAATAGAGGATATTGACATCTGAAAACGCTTTGCTATCTTCTTATAGCCTTCTCCAGCTTTGTGAGCGTCAACTATTTTCAGTTTCAGTTTTCTAGACAACTGCTTAGAAGAACCCATGGTGCTGATTGTTGGGGCAAGGTCAGATGAGTCTGGTCATTTAAAAACCTTTGAGATTGACATCACCTGGTCTTCCAGACGATGATTGAGAACAATCCATGACACTGGCAGGTCTCAGCTTGGCAAAGGGGGCAGTGCATGCTATAAATTCTGCAGGGTGCCCAAACTTTTGCAGACGCCATTTTTTTGTTTTCTGTTATTTTGAAAGTGTAAATGATGGAAATAAAATCTAACTTTTGTTGACATATTATAAGAATGTCTAATCTGTAATTTGATGCCTTTTGGAGATTTTTCCATCTTTCCTTGGCTTCTTTATGCACATTAATACAAATTTTTAGCTGGGGTGCCCAAACTTTCGATCCCCACTGTATATACACACACACACAAACTCTTTACTTATGACTTAGTTTATTTTTGCAAATGTTACTGTAATCCTAATTTATTTTACATACACAATTATCCTTTACACTTTTGCCATCATGGTTTTTACTTTCAACTAAGCTTTTAAATACAGTGAGAAATTTAAAATGTAAGTGCAGCTTGTTTTTTAAACTAAATGCTCAGAGTATAAAATTAAAGTGATTCTAAAGGCTTTTTTTTTTTTTTAAAGAAAAAATAACAAACATGTCTATACTTACCTGCTGTGTGTAGTGGTTTTGCACAGAGCAATCTGGATCTTCCCCTTCTCAGGGTCCCCCGCAGGCGCTCCTGGCCCCTCACTCCTGTTGGGTGCCCCTACAGCAAGCAGCTTGCTATGGTGACACCCACTGCTCCATGTGTCCATTCACACACAGAGCCGTGGCTCTGCCCCACCCCCCTCTCTTCTCATTGGCTGTGATTGACAGCAGTGGGAGCCAATGGCTCCCGCTTCTGTCTCAGCCAATGAGGAGAGGGAGTCTCGGGATAGTCAAGACTCCAGTATACATCACTGGATCGAGAGGGGGCTTAGGTGAGTATTAGAGGGGGTTGGGGGAGATGCTGCTGCATAGACAAGGTTTTTTACCTTCATGCATAGAATGTATGAAGGTGAAAAACATTAAGCCTTTAGAACCACTTTAACAAGTAACACATCTCAATGTAAATCAAATTTCTGCATAGGCAGATTTATATATTTTTTAGAGAATTAAAACAATATTAATTTTAGATCTCATCTTGTAAAATTGCAAGGCTTCCACCTGCACAATGGATCTAGGGTTAACAGAACACAGTTTTCACAAAAAAGGGCAACGTAATTTGTAAATTAAATGCAAAATAATGCAGATACACAGTATAAATACATATCAGGAAAAACCACACACTGGAGAATAACTGCACAAGTCAAACATAAGAAACTTCTTTTAAAGCAGATGCAGGTGTGAGTATGCAAATATTTCACCCTGATCACTTCTAAGCATCTGGACCTCTCTGTAAGGGAGTAGGATCTCAGTGAGTAGGGTAAAGGGATCAGTGTTGTGAAATATTGTAATCTGTATTCTACTTAATGTGCTATTTCCATATAATTATAGTATTCAGTATATGAATTCCTTTATTTCTCATACCTGTATTTACATTTCTTTCCAAACACAACTAACTTACTCTTTCATGTTAGATCAATAGGAAGTGATGGGTGGGTAGCCAGGGACAAAGCTGGATATTTCCTTGAAGAACATGGTTTATTGTAGCATGTCTTTCGACATATATATATCCTAAAAGGGGATTGTAATGCATACAATTTAAACGATAAAAATGATAACTGCTGCTCTGAGAAAATGTTATGGACTCACCTAAATAAAATACTATGTAACATACCATGACATTAGAAATAATTCGTATCATCCATCTTTCTTTAACAAACAAGCACAACACATTTCACAGTTTTGCAGTTTTCCAGCAGTGAGTTCTTTTACAGCTCTCTGCATTTGATTACCTAACATCTCAGAACTGCAAAGGAAATCAATTCTGGAAGACTTCCCTCTGTACTGTAATTTGTGGGCCTTAATGGGGAGCAAAATGCTAAGCAGCTGTCACTGACCTAATGTACCACTCTAATTAAGGTCTAAATGGAATGATGATGTACTGTAACTGTACTTAGGGCCACCAGTCCTAAATATATTATTTGTACTGGCTCAGAAGACAAATGTCCTATTCACTGCCCAGTCCAGTTCACACCTACTGTTGCTGCAGCACCTTAAAGCAAAACTACACTGCTTCTGAGCACCACAAACCAAAAATGCTATTTAATTCACTTGTAATATTCAAAGCAAACTCACCCATCCATCCATGTCTCTATGTTTTATTTTGCTGAGAAATCTCTTTGAAAAGCACCCCTAGTATTTTGACTCTGGTTACCTTGACTAAGGGCAGATGATTCATGCAGCATTTACTTCCTGGAATCCATCTTCCCTTAGCTCAGGCATGAATCGGGGTACGCTTAGCTGAGAAAACCTCTTCTCCCCTCCTGAAGACTCCTGCGATGTATGACATTATTTGCCTAGGCGTGGAAACTAGGAAGTAACTAACAAAATTAAAAAACAGTTTAAAACAAGTAAATATGGTATACTTCCCATCTATTCATTAATGCTAGCAGCATAAGGATTCAGTATAGTCAATATTGATTGAAAGAGAGAAGTTCCACTTTAAGAACCCCTTGGCAGTATTATAGTTTGTCCCAGATGATAGTTTATCATCATGGTGAAATGATTTTTGCAACAGTTGTATTCAAAATATCTGAAGACTATGCCATAGTATGTGTCCACTGGCTCTGGACTGATAACATGACAAAGATACTGAGAATGCTGCTTAACCACTTCCCGACCGGCCGTTGTATTTAAACGGCCGGATGGTGGCACTGCAGGGTCGGGTGGCCGTGTATAAATGGCCTCCCCACACCCTGCCTGTGCGCGCTCCCCCGGGAGTGCGCAGCACCGCGATCCGGTGCCCGCTGTGTCCTCCGGACACAGTGAAACACCGATCGTCGGACGGGACCTCTGTATGAGGTCCTGATCATGTGATCACTGTTTGGCCAATCAGTGATCACATGCAAAGTAGTAAGCAAGATGTCACTTCTGACATCATTGCTTACTACGTGTGAAATCTGTGAATCATCACAGAGGTCACATGGTACAAGGCTATTCACAACAGCCTTGTACCATGTGACAAGCTGTGACCAATCACAGCTCACTCAGTAGTTCTCAATGGCTGCAAGAATGCAGATAGAGAGAAAGAGAAATGATTGCTTTTACATCCTATATGGGTGTAAAAGCAATCAGTGTAAAAAAAAAATCTTCATCACCCCCCAAAAGTAGTACAGTGTCACCATGGTGACACTGTACTGCTAGGGTGACAGTATGTAAAAAAAAATAAAAATAAACAATATAAAAAAAATGAAAATGTAAAAAAAATGTTTAAAAATTATAATTTTTGGTTATAAAATAATTTGGCTTTTTTTTTTTTTACTAAAAAGATAACAATACATTTTGGCCAAGATTTATGATGAAATATTATTTATTTGCAAAATTTTATAAGAAAAACACTTTTTTTTCTAAATTTTAGGATATTTTCATTTACATAGCAAAATCCCAGTGGTGAATAAATACCACCAAAATAAAGTTTTAGCTGTCTCAAAAAAATGGTAAAAAAATCATATGGGTACAGTGTTGCATGACCGCGCAATTGTCATTTAAAATGTGATAGCGCTGAAAGCTGAAAATTGCCCTGGTCAGGAAGGGGGTAAAAGCGTCTGGACTGGAAGTGGTTAAAGCGGAGTTCCACTCACCCTGTCAAAAAATAAAAGTTCGCAGCTACAAAAACTGTAGCTGATGACTTTTAAAAAACAGCCACTCACCTGTCCCTCGGTGTGTCCCTTGCAGCCCGTTTCACCGGCCGTCCTGTATTCCAGGAGGCCGGCATCTTCAATGTGGGCACCCGGCTGTGATAAACTTGTGGCTTCACAGCCGGGTACCCACTGCGCATGTGCGAGTAGCGCTGAGCTTCATGAATGGTCCTGTAGTCTTCTGGGACCTTTCACGTGTCCCAAAAAACTACAGGGAAGGCACACACCTTCCGCTTATGATTGTCTAGGTCAGTGGTGGGCAACCTTTTTTTTCAACTGAGCCAAATCTCGCCAAAACCACGATTGAAATTTATTTTGAGAGCCACATTTTTAAAACTGAAAATACATCCCCCATATAGTAATTCATCCCCCATAGTAATTCATCCCCCATATAGTAATTCCCCCATATAGTAATTCATCCCCCATAGTAATTCATCCCCCATATAGTAATTCATCCCCATATAGTAATTCATCCCCCATATAGTAATTCATCCCCCATAGTAATTCCCCCCCTATAGTAATTCATCCCCCCTATAGTAATTCATTCCCCATATTGTGTCAATTCACTTACCTTTGCTCCGCGCGTTCCTCTCACCGTGTTCCCGCGCCGTTCCGGTCTTCAGGGCGAACTGTGAGAGGAGAGGAGTTTGTCACGCTGCCCCGCCTACATCCTGACAGCCAATGTTTGCCACGCTCCGCGGGCCGGATTAAAAGGTCCGCCGGGCCGTATACCCCGCGGCCGTAGTTTGCCCATTGCTGGGCTAGCTGCAGAGTCCTGACTTTTGGGGCGGCCGTCCGAGAGGAGGGAGGGGAGCGGGCGCCCATCACACAGAAGAGCCGCATTAAAGTGTGTAAAGAGCCGCATGTGGCTCGCGAGCCGCGGCTTGCCGACCACTGGTCTAGGTGATCGGACCGGGAGTGGGAGCGGGTACTTGTCAAATTCGGGTACCCGCCCCCCAAAGGTGCCAATCCTTAATGGGGAGCGGGGGAGTAGTCCTTAAAGTGTAACTTCCCCTTTTGGGTGGAAATCCGCTTTAAGGAAATAAAGTATGAATGGTGAGACAAAATAGGCTACAAAGATCAGATAGAATGCTGCATTTCAAAACCTAACATGCAGTATATGTCCTGTGAGTACTAACGTTGTTAAAATGTAATTGTAACAATCTCTGTACAATCCTTTTTAGATTTACCAACAATTACGTAGACCAAGGACCAACCTAAAACATCCAAATAATTTTTGTCCAATAAGACTGTCCTTTACCCTATGTGGTTGTTGGTAAATTTAATGCAGGGTGTACAAAGAGACTGTAGGGTGTGTGACCAGCTTGAAGTGAACATGTGGTCAGGCTATGGATGTTCTCATAATTACATATTCCTGACAATAAATGCATTTTACAACAAGTCCTTAGTGACAGCCACTATGAAGCAAATGACCCTTAAAGTTCACTGTAGAGGAACTGAAGTCATTCCTGTTTTTCACAGCAGCTCCGCTCACTTCTCTCCCCCTCCCAGAGGTCATATTCTGTGTTCACATTAGACATTTGAAAGCTAGAGGGCTACTATGTCACTGCTGGGAGGGGAAGCATTGTGAACTGAGATGAAGAGAAAACATCATGAATGTCTTCAGTGCTACTGCTGTGAAATATGAGGATGCCGGGTCAGGAGAGGCTTGTTTTTAGGATAATTTACTGCTTGTTAAGCATATAAAAGATAGTAAATGCCCACAGCCTGACCACAGGTTCATGTTAAGGTAGACTCCTGCCAAAGACACCAATTCTTCCTCAAAAGAGGCCCCACATTTTTGGTTGATTTACTAAAAACTGGAGAGTGCTAAATCTGGTGCAGCTCTGCATAGAAACCTTCCAGGTTTTTTTTCAAAGCTTAAAGTGATACTAAAACTTTAAAAAAAAAAAAAAAAAAATAACAAACATGTTATACTTAGCTGCTCTGTGCAGTAGTTTTGCACACCGCTGCCCCAATCCTCTTCTTTTCAGGCTCCCTGTTGGCGCTCTGGCTCCTCCTCCTTGTCAAGCAGTGCCCCTAGATGAAGCTGCTTGTCCTGGGGGGAACCTGTATGTCCTTGGAACCGAGCTGCTTCTCTATGCATCCATAAGACACATAGAGCCGTGGCTCAGCCCTGCCCCCTGCTCTCTCCTCATTGGCTGTGATTGACAGCCTCAGGAGCCAATTAGCTCCTGCTGCTGTCTCAGCCAATATGGAGGGAGAGTCCCCATACAGCCTATGGGCTATTGTGAACATCACTTGATTGGAGGAGGCTCAGGTAAGGATTGGGGGGGGGGGGGGTCTGGTGCACACAGAGGGTTTTTTACCTCCATGCATAGAATGCATGAAGGCAACAAACCTTGAGCCTTTACAACCACTATAATTGAACAAGCTGAAGTTAGAAGCGGATTGGCTCCCCTGCACAGCTGTATCAGATTTTGCACTCTTCAGTTTTAGTAGATCAACCCCTTTGTGTAGCTTCACTGCAAAACGTATTGAATTATTTCACACAGAAACAGTTCCCCGTTATTTGTTTCACCTTTTATCACCTTGTCAGAGAAATGATTAAGAACGAGAAATATGCCTGATGTACACAGTGTTTTCTCTAAGTCTGAATGTCAGATACTTCCCATTTCCACAAGCTGGTTTACCAGCAGTATTTCTATCACTTGCAGTGTTAAAAACATCAATACAGCAATAACATGTACCCTGGTGGGTATCCTTGAAGAGTGGCAATGTTTCAACTCATCTGATAAATCTTTCACAGTATATTGGCTGAATTCTGTAAGTGGCAATTGCTGAAATGCCATTATTGGAATCCATCACTCAAATCAATGATACTGTTTTTCTCAACATGTCTTCAAGTGGCCGGTGCTTAAAAGTTAATGGAGAACCGCAAACTCCAGCTGCTTTGCACTCTGCTGGTCTCAGCAGAGAACATTTTCAACAAGTATTTCTTAAAGTACAGCAATAATAAAAAAGGAAACAAAGCGACATGAGGTCCAACAGAATCACTATTCGCCTATAAATAGAGCACATATTTAGACAATTAGATGCATATATGCCATTTTCCAACATGCCTAGTGCACTTGTCACAGCTCCATGGTGAGGCTTTGTAAAAGAACACTTGAATGAATAGAAGAGAAATCCATTTAAGGAATAAACATATTCAAACACTATGCAAGCAATAGTAACTGTATATGTTTGCTCATATCTTGCAAGGCCATTGTGTGTTTACTTAAAGTGGTTCCAAAGGCTGAAGGTTTTTTACCATAAAGCATTCTATGTGTAGCACTATCCTTGTAAGGGCTGCTGGATTTGATTGGGTCCCCCTAAGCTTTTCATGGTCAGGCAACATGCATTTTTCCACACCTGTACTGGCTTTTTTTGCTGTTTAAAGGGTTAACAACTTGGATGGGGACTAGGGGTATATGGGATGCCCAAGGAATTGCAGAACTTGAGGACAAACTTCTTAGCAGTTATGTACATAAATTTGGACTAGCAAAAAAATATAGCACTGTCCCTTTTTGGTGTACCTCTCCAGACCCCGGATGAATCCCCCTCTTCATCCAACTCTGCTGAGGGTATCCCTGAGCAAGGGGGTCCCAACAGCTTGCAATTAAGCAGTCCTGGATGAAGACTAGTTGGGTATTGCACCTAACCGCCCTCTCCCCTTATCTGGCCCCAGGGGTGTAGGAGTACTTACACTGTCCTGTCCCGTCAGCATAGTGGGTTGGTAGCTGCTTCCAGGCCTTTCACTGGGCTGGCTCCTTCTCTGCTGTTCAGGATGTCCTCCCTAGGAGACTTTGGCCAGTGGAGATCCTCCTGTTCAGCATCCTGTCTGTATGTAGGTTCCTCTCCCAGGGGCCCCCTCCCAGGCTCCACACTCCAGGCTTCTCTCAATCCATTTTCCACCTAACTCCCCTCTCTCCCCAAGCTCTGTGATATTTGAGGGTTGCCCTGGTCACCATGCCCATCTTCCTGCCAGGGGATTGGCCAAGGTCCCCCAAACATGCAGATCTGGGCCTCCTCCCTTCCTTCTCCCCTGTCCCAGAAAGTTCTCTAGTTTCTGGAAAGGTGGGAGGGCTCCAGAAGCCCTGACCTGTAGAACTTCCCAGCCTGTCCTAAGGTGAACTCCTGCCTCACTCCCAGGATGACTCATCCCAGGCTGCTACTCAGCCTCTAAAAAAAAATCCTATCTAACAAACCTGGAGGGCGTTGCATCTACATGAAGGTATTATTATTCTACATGATTTATATAGCGCCAACAGTTTTCTCTGCGCTTTAGGTAAAAAACCTTCTGTGTGCAGCTCCCCCCTCCCCTAGCCTTTCCTGACACTTACCTGAGCCAGATCAATGATCTGGCACAATGCCCGAGAGTAGCGACTCTCTCTGCTCCTTCCTTCCTCATAGGCTCACAGACAGCAGTGAGAGCCATTAGCTCCTGCTGCTGTCAATAACAGCCAGTGAGGAGGGAGCAGGGGGCTCGGCTGAGCCACTCTTTGTGTGTCAATGGACACACGGAACTGGTTCAAGAGTGAGCATGCATGAGTGCTCGCATAGCAAGCGACTTGCTATGGGGGCACTCAGCAGGGGGGAGGGGCAAGGAGTGCCAATGGTGACATGGGAAGAGGAGAACTGCTGGGGCTGCTCTGTGCAAAACCATTGCACAGAGCACATAAGTATAACGTTTGTTAATATATATATATATGTATATATTAAATACATATATATATATATATATATATATAACATTAATATCAGTTTCAAGCAGTATAATTCTCAGGAATAAAAATGGATTATATTTAGGCTTAACAGTCCTTATAGGTGGCTGCATTATTTTTTTTAGCGCCTATTCATACATAAATCGCACAAGAAAGTGAGCTGCATTCCTGTGTGATTCCTATGCGACTGTGTGCAGTGTGAATTTCAGTTCATTCATTTGAATAGCCTAAAATCCTCCTGGATTGCACTAAATGTTGTGCATGCACTACTTTTCCAAAATGCACTGCTCTGGGTTGCTTAGTACTGCAGTACTATGGTGCAGGCAAACACATTGCCTTTGTGATCTGCGTTTGGGGTGTTGGTAGGAATATCTTAACAGCAGATAGCACACCCAGTGAGTTCTAAACACAGTGTGTAAAACATGAATTGAAAGCAGGCTTCCCACATCCCAGTGTGAACAAGCCCTTAGGCCTTTTTCCTTTTATTTTCCCCATCTTCACTTCCTGTCAGCATGGAGGCTTGGCTCTCTCCAGCCCCTACTTAGGGACTCAAGTGGTTAAAGAAAGTTCAGTAAAATACCTGTTGATCTGCTGGAAATGCTTTCACCTTCTAATTTTCTGAAGTGGACTGACAACACATGTCTTTTTCTGGAATGAAATTACAAGAAGTGGTGTCAGCCCTACTCAGTTGTCTTTTGATAAACTGCAGAATCCTTCCCCCTCTCCTCGTCACAACATACGGGAGAATTGTTCTGTAGTCCATAATAAAAATTGAATAACTCCCTGAGATAACACAGAGTGCACGGGGAAGCTCTAACTTTGGACATGATCAACAGGTATATTTTGCACTTTTTGAACAGATATAACAAAATGCTTTAACCGTTTCACTGCCATGCCCATACGTTGTACAGACCTGATAGCAGGGGGTTTTACACACAATCTGGTGGCTGCAGCCACCGGGATTGTGTATAAAACTGATAAGCAGACTTCTGCCTGTCAGGTAGAAGCAGTCAATTGGCTGCTCTGCCGCCCAATTGCTTCCACACACGCTCCCGGTCTTGCGCCTCCCCCCGTCATATATTCTGGGCTCCGTTTGCCCATCTGCGGGCCCAAGCCGACACGGTGGGTGCAGGGGAGGGAGCCAGAAAGTGCCGTGTATGATGTCACTTCCGGGTCACCTTGTCACTTTCCCCCCGGCTAGATTAGCCAGGGAGGAATGTATTGCAATGTGATCTGCATTGCAATACATTCAGTGCAGCACAGAGGTCCTTTAGACCCTGCATGTCTCATTAAAGAGTACCAGTCACCAAAA